GAACAATAATGGTGAATGCTATGTATGTGGAAAACGAGGCCACCGTGCTGCCCAATGCTATCATCGCAAAGGGTCTACGAGTCAGAATGGACAGAAACCAAACAACGAGAGGCCGAAGAACCAGGCTAATCTGACGGAGAACACAGAAGATGCTGATTTAGTAGCTGCTGTAGTAACTGAAGCCAACATGGTGGAAAATCCAGACAAATGGGTTGTGGACACTGGAGCTTCACGGCATTTTTGCAACAACAAAGCTTCATTCAAAACCTTTGAGCCTATCACTGGTGGAGAACAAGTCTTCATGGGAAACTCCAGCGTTTCCGAGGTAAGTGGTAGAGGAAAAAGTAGAATTACTGCTTTGTTCTGGAAAACATTTACTGTTGCAAAATGTGTTTTATGTCCCTTCCTTTCGAAGAAACCTGATTTCCGGAGGCCTTCTAAATAAGGCTGGAATTAAGATGGTTTTTGAGTTTGACCGTCTGGTTATGACTCGTTGTGAGAAGTTCAATTGGAAGGGATATCTACGTGGAGGTCTTTTTGTACTAGATGTCTCTATAGTTAACAATCACTCTGATGTATCTGGATCTTTTGTGACTGCTCATGATAATAAGAATGCCTCTTTTGTTTATACTGTTATATCAGTTAATGTTTGGCATGCTAGATTAGGACATGTTGGTGCAAAATGTTTAAATAGACTGAAAAACGTGAATATGCGACCAAACCTGTCTAATGATACATGTGAACAATGTGAAACATGCGCTGAGGCAAAATTTGCTAGAACATCTTTTTTAATTGTAAAGCATCGTACTTCATCATTGCTAGAATTGGTTCACATTGATTTAGCAGACTTTAAAACCACTGAAAGTCGAGGTGGTAAGCGTTACTATATAACATTTATTGATGACTTTTCTTGTTATACAAAATTATACTTGTTGAGAACAAAAAGTGAAGCCGAACAAAAGTTTGTTGTTTTTAAAAATGAAGTAGAAAATCAGTTGGAAAAAAGGATTTAAAGGCTTAGATCCGATAGAGGAGGAGGAGGAGAGTATGAATCAACCTTTTTGAAAGATCTGTGTGAATCTTCTGGCATTATACACGAAGTGACTGCACCCTACACACCCCAACAAAACGGCATAGCAGAAAGGAAAAATAGAACTCTCAAAGAGATGATTAACGCCATGCTAATCAGTTCAGGTGCTTCTGATTCGTTGTGGGGGGAAACTGTTCTAACAGCTAACCACATTCTAAACCGAGTCTTACACAAAGGGTTTGAAAATGGTTGATGATGAGTCTGAGTATTAACATTATTTATTTGAAGGTTGCTCTGTTCGCCAATACTGAATTTAATACAATTACCTTATACAATTATTACTTAATAGTTTTTAAAATTTAAAATTTAAACAAATATTATTTGACAAACCATAAGTATGTAATAATATTTAACTGTTACAAAATCTAAACAATTTTAAAATAAATTGTACATCATATTTAAAATTTTCTGAAAATAAGAAAAAAAATACTTTTAAGAAGGAAAAAATGTTAGTACCATTACTCACTGTGTTAGATAGGGTACCCATTGAACTACCCACATGTCGAATTAAATGCCTCTTATTTAGTATTGTTGTATTTTTACATGTCAAAATAGACATAGAAGTGCCAAACGACTATAAATTTTCATTTCCTGAAAAAATATTGAAAAACAACTATTAGCCCACAACCTTAATTTTATTTTTTGGTATTTAATCAAAATAGAATAGTAATGTCGTGTTTTAACAAAAAAAATGACTAACTAAATAATATTTTTTACCAGTCATTACAATGTGTGAAGGAATCTCAAATTATACAGCTTGTGTTGACATGTCATTAGATTGAAGATCAATGTGATTCTCTTTATCCAAAGAGTTATGCAAATTGATTGACTGACATTGAATACATTGATTTTCAATCTAAAATAATAAAATATTAAAACGATTAAATGTAAATAGAATTCTAACAATATTGGTACCTATACCTAAATCTATAAATTTTAATAAAAAAAAACATTTAATCAACAAAAATAATATATATATATATATATATATATATATATATATATATATATATATATATATATATATATATATATATATATATATAAGGATAAAAAAAATCAAGCTGAAATGTCTAGAACGCCGTTGTCTTCGCATCGCTGTCTTCTTCTTCTTCTTCGTTCATTTCCGATATCTGGATTTTATTTCTCTGCCGATCTCTTCTCATCGCTGTCTACTCCTTCGTTGATGTTTCGACTGCGACTCTAACCATCGATACTATGTTTCGATTGAGAGGAATTGTTATTCCGTTCTTGAATCTGGCAACGTAGATTATTTGAAACCCTAATCTACGAAGCCAGATATCCAACTCTTGTGGTTTGAAAATCTATTCTCCATATATCTTCCTTCGAATTCTTTTCGATCTATATTACTCTTACCATTTTTGTTTTAGAGTAAATCAAGCCTAATGTTGAAACCCTAACCTACGACAGTAGATCAGCTAATCTACGACTCCAGATGTACAGATCTTCGACTAAAGGTATGTTTTTTGTTCATTGTTCATCTAAGTCTCTGTTCGGTTAAAAATTTTTCTAGGTTAGAACATTATAGCTATATTTGATGGTTTGTGTACTAATTTTGCCAGGAAATTAACTAAAAATTTTGTTAATCTAAAACCTAGTTTTAGTTGTAATTGTTCCGGTGTTGGTAGTTGTAATTGTTCACCTAATATGTATTTTGTTCTAGATTTTGTTTGTTTAGTTTCGTACTAAAATAGAGACTTTTGCACACAATAACACTTTAATTGTTAATTCAAATTTTAATCTGTACGAAATTTGGGTTTTACAACTTTTTTTTTTTTTATATATAAAATTGTTGTGTTTTTGTGCAGGCCAAGGTTTTAGATAGTTTAGCACAATAGTAGAAGCCTTAAAAAGCAAGCCAGGTTTACAAAATTACCATAAAGAACAAAAACATACAACCTGACCCCATTAGGAAGCATATCATAGAAAGACTTAGTAGCATTACATTTTGTCCAACTTAACAACTAAAGTCTCAAAGTCTTTTATAAATAAAAGACTGTCTGGCCTAAGAATTACATCACCAAAAGGATCCTGTAAATAAAACAAATAAATTGAATTCTTATTCAATTTATAAATAAGAAAACAGGATATGTGTGCAAGTATATAAACCTCATGCTCATGATCTGTGATGTTGATTTCAGAGTCATTGTTCCCACAATGCTTAATTTACAACAGCAGCACCTTCACATATATAGAAATTCAAAATTCAAAATTCAAAATCTGTTAGTGAGAAAAAAAAAACATTTAGAATTGTTACCTAATCCAAATTTTCCTCTGTTTTGTTAGACTCAAGTTGTGAGGATAGGTCCTTATGTCCAGCAATTCAAATCAATAGGCATCCACCATGCAGGCCATTTATGATTTTTATAACAGTAAAGAAATGCCTTGCAAATATCATGTAAGGTATGTATGTCAAGATACTACCAAAGAGAATATAATAAAACCAATTCACTCTCTTTCACTTTCTTTGCCATTCCAAGAGTTGCTATTGGACTGTCTGGCCATTCCAGATCTATGTATACTGCTTTTTAAGATCCTTAAATGTTGTTAAAAGTATGCATTAGTTAACTGTTAACCCGAATTTCAGTAAACTGCATCTCAAATACCTTAGTTAGATAACAGTTTTTTTATATATTTTTTTGTCTGACTTGAAGATAGACATAGATTTTGTTTATACCATTTTTAATACAAATTATTTTAAATGAATGCAATAATATTTAAGTTTTTCATTAGAAGAATGCTAAAATCATAATAATTATATATTTTACTTTTCATATTTTCAAACTTTGAACATAAAAGGATAAATTTCTATATGATATTAATAATGTCAAAATTATTTTCAAAAGTTAGATGGTATAAAAAAAATTACATACACCAGTAATTCAATAGGTAAGTATCATATTTAGGGTTGAGGTTCAGCATTTTGAAAGAAGTATCATATTCTTTACCAAACATGAAATTTAAATTATTAGTTAAAATAAATAAATAATTATATGTTAAAGTGAATTAGAAAATGTTGATGTTCTTAAACCGAACTGAAATCAGATTTGAACCAAATCCAAACCTGAATCGAACTCTTTTAAATCCAATTGAGCTAAAATTTTTAAACTGACATATTAAAAAATAAAAAATAAAAAAATACCCGAAAAAAACCAAACCAAACCAAAATGCCACCCCTACTCTGTATCACTCTTAACGGCTGCCATTGCATTTCTTATCCCAGGTATCTATCTCTATACACATCTCTCTCTCATAGCTTTCAATTGTAATTTTACGCTAGTTTTAGTTCCTGAATGTTGATTGGATTCTCAATTAAAAATTATGGCCATTTCTGAAATAGGGTTTGGGTATAAAGGTTTTAGGACTGTTCTCAGATGTTGAAACTTTATACTTTGAAGCAAGCCCGGAAAATTATACATATTTTTAACCCTGCTATGGTGCTGTAAAATCTGAACTATCTCGGTTATCTGTTTCCAAGTGTGGTCACCTTCTTTTAACGAGGATGCAGTCAGATGAACTCATTGATGCAAATTGAAGTCTCAGTACTCATTGTTATTATTTTAACAACAAAACTAGACATCCGCTAAACAGGATTTCATTCAGTACGTTTGTTTCATAATTGTCTCTTGATTCACGGATAAGCATTTTTCATTAAGTGGTTTTAGTTTGCAATTTTGCATTGCGTTTAGATGGCAAAGATTAATATTAAGTATTTTAAGTTCGTTGTTATCGTTTTCAAAAAAAAAAAAAAAAGTTCATTGTTATCCTTAGATGTCTTAGATGCACCACACCCAGAGGCGGACCCTGCCCAAAATCATTCAGCCCCAAAACGACGTCGTTTTGGGGCTGTTATATATATATATATATAATTTTTTTTTTTTTTTATTTCATTACTTGGCGAGGCGAGAGGCGAGGCGAGAGCTCAGAGCTGAAGCGCGAAGCGGTCCACGGTCCACCACCGGCGATTCCGTCTTCTCCGTCGATTCCGTCTTCTCCTCCGACGCCACACCGGCCCACCGGCCACCGGCCACCGGCCACCGCAAGTTCCGAAGCCACCACCAGCGCAGCAGGTTTTACTTCCGAGTTCTGAAGCCACCACCGAGGCACCGACGCCACCACCGGACGACTCCACTGCCGTGTTGGGACGACTCCACTGCCAGGTTTTACTTCGAATCTCTGATCCCCCTTCTCAATAGTCAGTTCAAATACTTCGAATCTCTGATCCAATGTTCATCTAATTTTGCCCTAATTTAATTTTTCCCTAATTTAATTTTGCCCTAAATTGGCTTGAATTGCTTATGTTGAGGTCTCGTTCCATTGAAGTATGCAGTGTAGTGTATGTTTCCATTGAAAATTAATTTCCATTGAAGGATTTGAAGCAGTATATGTATATGTTTAAAGTATGCAGTGTATGTTGTAAACTGCCATGTTGGAATTGTTTAAAGTATGCAGTATATGTTTAAAATTAATTAAATTGGCTTGAATTGCTTATATGTTTAAAGTATGCAATATATGTTTAATTTCTTAATTGCTTAATTTCCATTGCAGCAGTATGCCAGTATGCTTAATTGCTTAGTTTCTTAATTAATTGCTTAATTTCTAATGCAGCAGTATATGTTTAAAGTATGCAGTATATGTTTAAAATTAATTAAATTGGCTTGAATTGCTTATTGCTTTATCTCTAAACTCATGAATAATGAATTATATGTTAATATGTTATTCGTTTTTTGAATTTATTTTCCCTGTGCTTTTTTGCCCCCACTGAAAGAAAATCCTGGGTCCGCCACTGACCACACCCATTGTCTTTGAAAGGAGAAAGACTAGTTATTTAAAGATAACGAAAGATATAGTTAAACAAGTGATGGAAATGTTCATGGATACTTTATAGGATAACTCAGCCATCTAGGACTTGGTAGAAATGTAGGAGATAGTTACTGATGAAGTAAGTTACGTGCTTTTTCCATGTTTTTATATCATGTTGAAAACTTATATATCAAGTAATTCTCTAGCGCATGTGATTTTGTGCTAGGAACCATAACTAGTAAGTGTAACTTGCATGTTATATGACAGAAAATAACTTCCATTATCTAATACAGCCCAATCTGTTGCTTTGTACATTTAGGTAGTTTTCTGTCAACCTTTATATTATTAGTTAACTTGTCTTAGCCTAATTTCTTGTTTTGTCTATTGAGGTGGTTTTACGTATATTAATGTTATTCTATATTAACAAAAATAAAATGTAATATGTAATGTTCTAAAGCATTCTGACAGTTTTTTACATCAACAGTATGTTGCATTTAGCTCTGGTAGTATCCATCTTATAAACTACAAACATCATGTAGTTTGATGATTGTGAGTCTTTGCCTAGGAAATTGAATTCTTGTTGGTTAATGTTTTTACAATTATAATCAAAGTTTCTATGTGTTTGAAAACATTTTATGTTTATTAATTGAGATTTTTTAACACTATTTTGTAATGTGCATGATGATTTGCAGGCGCAATTCTCATTGTTCTTGATTTTGAAGTTAGAGTGAAGGATCTATAACATGTCTGTAACACTCTTTAGGGGGATACAATTCTATCCTCTTAGGCAATACAAATTCCCATATTTTTCTAGAAAACATGCCACTTTGTATTGTACTTTGGAAAGAACAGAAACCAATACTACAACACAAGAAAAGCAACAGACCAAGTTGAAAGGGTTGCCAAAAAATCAATCAAAACCACTTGATAACATTTTGAAAGATTATGAATCAATCATTGGTATAGAAACCCATGTGCAGCTTTCAACTCTTACAAAGGCTTTTTGTGGCTGCCCGTATACGTACGGGGCTCCCCCAAATACATACATTTGCCCCATTTGCATGGGTTTGCCTGGGGCATTGCCAGTTTTAAACTCAAAGGTTATAGAATCTGCCATTAAAGTTGGTCTTGCACTCAACTGTAAGCTTTCTCTGAGCTCAAAGTTTGATAGGAAGCAGTACTTTTATCCGGATCTTCCAAAGGGATACCAAATATCACAGTTTGATATACCTATTGCAAGTGGGGGTTATCTTGATCTAGATCTGCCGGTTGAGTTTGGTGGGGGACATAGGAGATTTGGCATTACAAGGGTTCACATGGAAGAAGATGCCGGCAAGCTGCTTCATACTGATGGTGGGAGTTATTCTCAGGAAAGTATTACATCTCTTCTCTACATCTACAAATCTTGTATTTCATAATATTTTTTTTCCTATTTGAGATTATGACTAAAGCATTTGACTAGATTTGTTGAGTTTTCTGTTTGTTGAAGTTTAAACTAATTGTGAAAATCACTTTCTTTTGCAACTCGATCATATTATGAGCATTTCAGTGTGTAACGTTTACTTTCATGTCACTAAGTACACTAGTAACTTTTTGCCGATATCTCACCTAGCAACCAACTAGTATTGTTCATTTATTTTATTGCGAATTCTATAGGAGCAGGATCTAATCTTTTTTTCTTTTTTAAGTTTTATAACAGGTTGACTTGAATAGAGCAGGGGTACCATTACTTGAAATTGTCTCTGAACCTGATATGAGAACTGGAATTGAAGCTGCAGAGTATGCTGCAGAGTTGCAACGATTGGTAAGATATTTGGGAGTGAGTAATGGAAATATGCAAGAAGGGTCACTTCGTTGTGATGTCAATATCTCTGTTCGTCCAATTGGACAATTAGAATTTGGTACAAAGGTAAACTATTTCTTTTGTTTAGTAATATATTTTTCCACAGTTCTAGTATTTCTGTAATTTACTTTAAATCCTTATTTAATATTATTCATTTCTCATGTTTCATGATTTATTGATTTAACTTATAAATATATTTACGTGATGTTTAAATTGATAGAATGCTACTTTGTTTAAATTGGAATTCCTTGGACAGGTGGAAATTAAGAATTTGAACTCATTCTCATCGGTAAGTAGGGCTATTGATTTTGAGATTTCAAGACAGGTGCTTCTTCATAGCCAAGGCCAGAATGATCAAATTGTACAAGAAACTCGTCTCTGGGAAGAAGGTTCTCAGGTTATACAGTGGTTAACTTTTGTCCTGCCACAACATGAAATTAATATGTTACGGTTTGCTTATTTGGTAATGCTTTTCGTACTTTCAGAAGACAATTACCATGAGAAAAAAGGAAGGGCTTGCTGACTACCGTTATTTCCCAGAGCCTGATCTTCCAGGAGTTACTATCACTCAAGATTATGTTGACAGTGTTTGCAATTCATTGCCTGAACTTCCAGAGATGAAACGGCGGAGGTACGAAAAAATGGGATTAAGCATGCAAGATGTTCTTTTTCTGACTAACGACTCCAATGTAAGTACTGTTCATGACTGCTTAGATTCATGGTCTTTATATTGGCATAATGCTACGCATTAACTTGACCTTTTATGCTAGTTTGCATGCTAACTACTAACTAGAAGTTCTATAGAAGAGTGGCATAAAATTATCTGAATTTTGTTGTGTTTACTGTTAATGATACTCCCATTGGAATAGGAATAGTTATTTATGTGAAGTATTGTATTATTAGAATTAGATGAACATTATAATAGGAGTTATTATATTATTGGATTTAGAGAAACATTAAAATATGAATTATTATATTATTAGAGTTAGTGGAACATTGGAAATAGTTAGACTTTAAGAATACAATGTTATAAATAATAGGCCCCCATGTATTGTGGAAGCCGTGAACCAGAAGAACAATATAATCTTTTTATACTTTTCCTTACATTCTATCACTATATTCTCCTCCCCAATTCTTTATTAGCGCTAACACTTGCTCAAAGTAGTGCGTGTTTGGTACGGGATGTCGGGATCATATTAGTTAAATAAACATTTAATGCTTTATAGATTGGCATGCCTCTCTCCAACCCAGTCTTTCCACTCACCAACAAGCATGAAACAAAGAAATAAACTCCTTTAGATTTTTCTAGTACTCTTAAAAACAATTAATGTGATGTTTCGATACTCTGTAGTAGCATTATCTTTCAATAAACAAATGTTTCAGATTGCAGAGTTTTTCGATGCGACAATTGGTAGAGGTGCAGATGTAAAACTTGCTACTAATTGGATGATGGGTGACATAGCTGCATATTTGAAAAATGAAAAGTTATCCATCAATGAGATTAAACTTACTCCTCAAGAACTCAGTGAGCTCATTTCTGCAATCAAAGGGGAGACTATCAGTGGAAAGATTGGGAAAGAGGTACATATATAGTTGGCATGTGCTCTAACATTAAGAAAAATAGGTAGGTTATTTATTTATTTATTTATATCTATACTGGTGTGCAATTTCACCTTTAATTTTTTTTAAATGATATAAAAGTACTATTTACAAATTTTAGCATACCATGATAACAGACATTTGCATTTTATACTATTTGACCTTTTAAATTTTTTAATGATAGAGAAGTTGCTTTCACAATTTTCGGATATCCTCATATCCATAATACCATACTAATTCCACTGAGAAGAAATATATACCAGAGTTTCCAAGCTTGGTTAAAGTTTTGTTTGTTCATTGATTCCAACGTAACATCTGCAGATATTGTTTGAGATAATGGCCAAGGGTGGAACTGTCAAGGGGATGATAAAAGAAAAGGATTTGGTTCAGGCAAGTTATCTCATATCTAATGTTCTGAAGCTTGTGACCATTTGTCTTTGCTATCTGGTCATTAAAACTTTTTTTTTTTTTTTTTAAATTTAATGACTTTAGATGGGTTGAGTAATCAATCATGAAATGGTTCATAAGGGTCGTTAGATCTTATGGATTTGCATGTCCTCCAATGATATTAGCTTATGTCTAATTTTTTCTAGTTAGTCTCTTTCTAGCACCAGATATGTCGAGATGTGTTTGGAACAGTTTGAATGAGAGACGATTTTAGTGAATTCTAAAAACCAAGCATATCCCAACAACTATGAGACAAAAAAGAATGATGCATAATTCTCTTTTATTTTCAAAACATCAGATTGTAGATCCTCAAGAGATCGAGAAAATGGTAGATAAAGTGATTGCTGACAATCCAAAGCAACTAGAGCAATACCGTGGGGGTAAAACTAAACTTCAAGGCTATTTTGCTGGTCAGGTATGGTTATTTTGCAGTTGCTTTAATTTTTCATCTCTCAATCCTGCAAGGCTGTAATAAAGTTAATGCTTTTCTAAATTTGTATGAAAATGAAAAGGTGATGAAGGAATCGAAAGGCAAGGCAAATCCAAAGATGTTGAACAAGATCCTATTAGAAAAGTTAAATGCCAAAAGATGATGCTTTGTCCAGTAGCAGCCTTGAATAATTCCCATTGTATTGTTGTGAAGCAGCAAAACGGTGTTGGTTAGTTGCTTTATAGATTAGCTACTCTCTTCAATCTTGAGATGGAAGGATTGTACAACTTACACTTTGCCTTTAGTTAAGGAGATAACAAAGAGAGTCTAGGTTGATTATGCTTTTCTTTATTATCCGGGTACTCAAATGTGACCCACAACCCAAAGTAGCACAAAGAAATCCCTAAAAGTATCAATCTCAAAGCAAGTCTAACACCTTAAGCAGAAGGGTCAAATACACCCACATCTATTCACGACTGTTCAATTAACACTTTGATCTAAAATATGATTTAATCTGAGAAATTAACTCTTTAAATTTCTTCACTTAGCATTTTTCCCAAGTTTTTTCCTTGTAGCCATTCCGCATAGTTAACATGGAATTTAATTAAAAATGAATTTGTTGATATGAAATTTATTAATGTTGACCTTTAAAACCAAGCAAACCTTATAAAGCGCATATAATTTCTTTCTTCATCTTCGTCTTCTCAAAACATCCTTTTGTATACTCTCCTTGTCGATGTCTATATTCATCTTCTTGGTGTGAAATATCTTGTCTTCAACTTAATCAAAAGTGCGAAACAACTTGGAGTATGAGTTGTTGGGAGCATTTAAAGGGAAAGGTTTCTTTTAGCCTATCCATGTTGTCCCACATTGGAAGTTTAGCCTCTTATTTCCTTGCTTATATACTCCAAGGCTTTTAAATTAGTTTGAAGTGTTATGAGAAGGGAAAGGAGGTAAACCATGCGCGTGCCGCCGCCGCCACCCGTCCGGACGCGAGGTGGGGTCAACGTTTTGCTTCCAAAACCATTTTTCACCCTATTTTTGTGGATCATGTAATGACCTTGTCCGCACAACTCCATGAAGGAGTGTGCAGAGTTGGTCTACTGCTATTTTTTAGCACTACAAATGTGGGTAGTGAGAGGTGGGATGATGCTACAATTTTGCTGCAGTGTAGTATAAATACCAGCTATCAGAATGGGGAAAAACGCAAGAAACAGTACTGAGATTACTGCTACTGCTTTCGAAATTCTGTCAACCTGCGTATTATATATTACCTGCGATTTCTTTCCAGTTCATTCTGTTGTGCCTGTCGAAAGCATGCGACTCAATCCCTGGTCGTAAATGTTTTTAAGGTAGTGTGTTACACACGATACCGAACCTTTGGTTTGCCCTTTTTCGTTCCAAACCTTACATCCACAGTGCAGAAAAAACCCAACATGAGTCTCTGATGTATTGTTGTTGTGGATTGAAAGTCCTAATGTGTATAGCTCGAGATTTTGGGAGGAAATTTTATGGGTATCAAAGATGGATGGTGCGATTATGTATATCTTTTTACATTGTTGTAAATTTTGGAATGATCCATTAGTAAATGTGTTTGAAATTGTTTTAGGAGGGTTGTAGGTGTGGTTTTTTTTTTTTTTTTTTTGGGAAAGAACAAATTTCATAAAATAAGAATGATGCATCTGGAATGGAGGAATTGAAGAAATTGATTATAACAATGAGAAGTGAGTTGATCAGTGAAATAAATGTTATATGGGTACTAATTAAAAGTGTAGTGCTGGTGGAGAAGAAAGTTAAGGAGAAGAATTTTTTTAATCAAAAGTGTGTATTTATTTTGGTTGTAATTGTGTCCCTTTTGGTTAAGATTATGTTGTAATGAAGGGCTTCTGTATATGACTTTCTAAGATTTGTTGTAATGGAAATTTTTGTTGTAATGCCATTTGAATGCAATTTCTGTTTGTTACCCTTAACACTGTTTTTGGTTATATTTTGACAATATTTTTGTTAGAATTTTGTGTATATTAGTATGGAAAGAAAACTACATCAGCTTGGAATCGACTGCTCCGAAAATATTTCACCATCACATAATGTACATTGCGAATTCAAAATAGGCAATAGATTTTAAGCACAAATCATTATACAAAATCATTCAACATCACATGTACCATACAAAAAATTATTTAAACACTAGGCACAAATCATTGCCAAGCTAAAATTATTACAATGCTAATTCAAAATAGGCAACATATGGCCAAAATCACAATCCATAGCAGTTCTACATAAAAGTTGACATTCAATTTCAAGGGTTTTAATTTCCTCCCATTGATTGAATTGTTGGCATTGCCACTTGGTCCTGGAGTAGGTGTGTTGTTTCTCCCTCTTATAGATTTATAAAGTTAATACCTCCAATGATCCTCCGATTATTAGCGATTTACCAATTGTGGCCATCTAAGTTTTAAATGACCTCCAATGGTCTTCATGTTTTAAAAATTAACCAGTTGTGGTCCTTTTAGGACGTCTCGTGGTCACTTTAAACTCTGTTTTTTTTAAGAGTAAATGACACCATATTCCCAAAGATTAGAAAGTGCATTACCGCAAAAGAGATATGGGATACACTCATCAGTATCGGAGAAGGCGACAAACAAGAAAAAGACAACAAGCTAACCATCGCCATGAAGAAATTCGAAGATTTCAAAATGCTTTCTAACAAAAGTATTAGCGATATGGAAGCCGGTTTCATCAAGATCTTAGGAGAGATCAATGATTTGGGTAAAACCATCACCCAGAAGGAAATATCTCTCAAAGTATTACGTGGACTACCTTCTAGCTGGGACATGAAGGTGACCGCAATGCGAGATCATAGAGATCTAAGGATGTTATCTACGGATAAACTCTTTAGCGATCTCAAAGCCTACGAGTTCGAGATGAAGTCAAAAATCGAAAATGAACGAGATGAATGAACATCTGCTTTAATGACCGATTAACCATCGTCATCAAGGTTAGTAGGAAATAGTGATTTTTTATCTGATGAACAATATTTTTCATTATTTGTCAGGAAATTCAAAAAGTTCATGCGAAAGAACAATGTCAAGATGTCATCTCAAGGAAGCTCATCCAGAGAAGTTAGAAAACCTAGAAAAGAACCCGTTAAAGATAACACAAACATGTGTTACAACTATAGAAAGGCAGGACATTTTATGGCAGAATGTCCATACCCCAAGGTAAGCAAAAATTCGAATACATCTAACCCTTCTCAGGAAGAATACAAGTCGAAGGAGAAACGGTTCAAGAAGGACAAGCGGAAGGCACTAATAAGTGATCTATTAGAGACAAGTGAATCCGAAGAGTCATCTAGCGATGAGAGTGACGCATCACAAGAAGATACGACATTACTATGCCTAGTAAGCAAAACAATCGAACACGAAGAATGCTTAATGGCGCACGAAACCGATGAAGAGGTATCTTCTAGTTCTTTTGATTCCGTTGACTCTTCTTTCAGGACTAAAGAATCATTTCTAAGTTGTATGAAAGATTGTCAAGAAATCATGGCACTCATTCTCATATCAAAGAGTGCAAAAATATGTAAATCCTTGAAAAGGAAGAAATAGCGCAAAAATTGCAAAATGTTCTAAATGAAAGGAGTAACTTGAGAGCCGAAAATGTTTGACTTCAAAAAGAGTGCAAAGCTCGAGAGATTAAAGAACATAACCTAAGGAAAGTAATAACATCATTTACGCATTCATCCAAAATAATGGATAAAATGGTAAGTATGCAGAAACCCGCAGGAGATAAAGTCGGACTGGGCTACGATCCATCATGTTCTCAAACCCCGGAAAAACTGACTAATTCTACTACTACTTTAAATAATAAAGTTTCAGTAGTAAAATTTGTGAAAAGTCATAATAGCACAGTGAGACAAGGAGTTGGTAATCAAATTAATTTCCGAAAATCAGTTGCAAGGCCGAATCCAAATAAGAATATCTCAGTAAAGCAACAAAATTTAAAAGGCAAAAATTCGTGTCTCAAACGAGAACCAACGAGTCTAGTGCATCAAGACCTCATAGGAATACAGGAAGAATTCCAATGATTGGGGCTAGGAGATTATATCTCTTTGAACAAGATTGGTTATTTGAAGACACACATGGACCAAGTCCAGATTTGCTCTCTTTCATAGGATAGCGCAACTATCTGCTTCTAGAGGTGCAAAATAATTTTCAAAAACCTGCACCGAAACATTATTCGCAAGTTCAATATGATTACAAAGTGTTCAATGGTTACAAATCACATATTTTTGGATCAATGGGATCTAGGCGGATTTTGATGCCTAAGATTACTAACAAAACATGACCCAAACAAATCTGGGTACCTAAGAATAATTAAATTCTATTGTAGGAAATTTGGTATTTTGATAGCAGATGCTCTCGACATATGACCGGCAATAAAACTAATCTAGTTGAGTTCAAAAGCATTGAAGGACCAAAAGTAATTTTTGGTGGAAACGACCGTTATGGAGCAACAAAGGGAACATGAACAATTGTGAAGAATGACTTACGAATTGAAAATGTATCTTACGTTGAAGGACTAAAGTTCAACCTATTCAGCACAAGCTAATTCTGTGACAAAGGATATCTCATAGAATTTTTCAAATATAAATTTCAAGTCAAATACGAATCTATGAAGGAACTCGTACTCGTCGGAACGAGAAAGAAGAACATGTACGTTGTAGATTGGAGTACCAAAAAGAAGTCAGTATGTTTGATGGAAAGCAATCCAAATTAGACAAGTTGGCAATGACATAGAAGACTAAAACATTTGAATTTCAAAACCATCAACAAGCTTGCAAAGAATAAGCTAGTTGAAGGTCTACCCAACATTGTGTTCAAGAAAGAACAAATTTGCGATGCATGCAAGAAGGGAAAACAAATCAAAGCTTCATTCAAATCCAAAGCTCAAGAGTCAACATCAAGACCTCTCAGTCTACTGCACATGGATTTATTCGGTCCAGTAGACCTAGTAAGTTTAAGTGGTAAGAAATATACGTTAGTTGTTGTTGATGTTTTTTCCTGGTACACATGAACAATATTCATCAAGAAGAAGAACGAAGTTGAATCAAAATTGCCCGAGATACTAAAGCAACTCCAAGTCGAAAAAGAAATGAAGATTGCAACAATTCGAACCGATCGAGGAACATAATTCGTGAATAATGTGATTCAATCATATTGCAATTCACAAGGGATTCTACACCAATTATCTACCGCAAGAACACTGCAACAAAATGACGTAGCTGAAAGAAGAAATATGATACTCAAGGAAGCTGCACGAGTCATGATATCAGCAGCCGAGCTACCAAAAAG